ATAATAAATAGTAATTTAAAACAAATATAGGAAATCCAACAGTCAAACTATTTATACCTATATAGTTTTGTTGGACAATGGCCTTACCATACCTTTATTTATTTATTTTTTGTTTACACTTTTTGTAGATATACAACGGCGGACTTAATGCCTAGTGGCCAACCTTAGGTTGACTGTTAGAGAATGCCACTAGGCAGATCGGTGGTGCAGAGAGATACAATAGTAGTACTTTATTATTAAAAATTAATAATAATACAATTTCGAACACTAATCATTCACAAAAATCTGATTGAAACTGTGTACAATACATACCTGAGCAACGCCGATGACCTCTCCGTTAATGTCCTTAATGGGCATGCAGAGAAGTGACCTCGTTTTGTAACCCGTCTGTTGGTCAATGTCGTGGTTAAACCTTTCGTCCTGAAACAAGAGAAAAACTCCAATAAATAACACAGAATAAGTAACTCTATGTTTAATAATATAGGGACGATTATTAAAATGGTTGTCTTCTAAATCATTAAAACACTGGACACGCATTTTCGTTTTAATAAAAACATTACGCAGAATCGTCACGTCGAATCGAAATGTGAGATGATATTTTATACCAGTTAGTAAAGTTACTAACTGATATAAAATTACTTAATTTAATAGAAGTTTTTCAGAGAAATAAAAATTCAACACCATCGTGCCATCTGCACTTGACAACTCATCAACAAACGCGACTGTTTAACATTAAGTACAATCACCGAATTTGTTTTTGCTCAATCATCATCCTTATTACCGCATTGCTCTGGATTAAGAGTGACTGCAGTAATGGCAGCCATTGAACAAGTCTTTAATTGGACTATTATTACTGGTCTGAATGGGACTACTTCTAAATGAAGTCACATAAGAACTAGGGCGAGTAATCCGAGTCGTGGTAGTGACCACAGACCGCAACCGTCCTCCGCAGAGTGCCTCTCAATATTATTGCTTCTTCTGCAACGTACAGAGGGCGTATTAGTACGAGTTTATTTGACATTTAAAGTAGGTAATAGAAATAAGTCCGCATTCGGCGCACTGATTGGCCGGCTCCACTGAACCAACGAATCAGAGCACCGGACGCGGACTCGTTGTGATTACTATAAACGTAAAATGAACTTGTGTTAGGTCTTCAGTTATTTTGTTACGGAAATAACTACGATTCATTCATCTGTACTCGTGGGCGGTATAGTGTTACTATTTTGAAATAACAATGCCGAGAGTACAAAGGGAAATGCAAGGCTGGTTAGAGTTCGTAATGAATCGTTTATTTTCTTTTATTTACAATCGGATTTATTTTAATCGAACTATTATTGCTTCCCTGAAACTTATGATTTTTCATAATATGCAGTGTTGTGGGATTTCAATATCATCAAATCAAGCACACCTGAGTTTATACGATATCTACAAGAGATCTCAACATTCAAGTGAAACTCGTCACGTGCGTTGATGCATAGCTGGTTCAGTAAAATTTATTTTAGCGAACAGCGTAAATCTGTCAACAATAAAGAATGCGGTTTGAGGAATCCGTTGTAACATCAAAACGATTCGAATGACTGGATCCGTCCCACAATGCAGTGCGAACACGAATTTGTGAAACCACATTCGCATGTATGGATCGAAGCCAAAAGTGGTTATATAGCAAATCACCGTTCATTACCAACGCCTGTCATCCAACCAGATTGGGCTTAAACCATCCATTGAGCTTACGTATCACACTTTAGGTAAATCCGACCGAATATTTTGGAGTTTAAGGCCGTTTGTCAAACGTCTGACCGGCATAAATCTGTCGACGAAATTCGAAATTGAAGCTGTAAAATCTTTTGGCGGCATAAATATCCGATGTGCATATTCATATCTGATTTGATTCCCCATCTTGAATTTGCATTCCTTTTAATTGTATATAGTTCCTTATTTAACATTTATAAAAAAAAAATTAAAAGTAAACTTTAATAAAGCAATGTGATCTATTTAACTAAATCTTTACCTTAGTTATAATATTTACTTGACTAGTATCCTGAGTAAGAGACTTTTAATTGACACTACCTCTAAAGTAAAGAAATAAACTTATAGATTTAATAACTAATTATAAACTTAAACAAGTATTTGAGAATTATTTGATCGGTCTCAGATCTTGAATAATGTTAACAAATAGATACCGAAGCAGTGACTAAGACAGGCTGCGTAACAATTCAAACCGTCGCCATTACTGATTCAGACATTTGGTGGTTTAATTATTGATAGTAACCGCTTTCCACGTGTATCGTTAATTCTAAGATGTATATCCAATCGTGTTATACACTTAAACAAGCACTTCAAACTGTCACTTCGATAAAATTAATTAAATTAGTACGTAGTGTGTTAGAAATTCTGTCAAATGAATTATACCACTGTGGTATTAATTTTCTTATGGAATATTTGGCACGGAATCAAAAATTCTTCCGCATAATCAGCTCTTCTATTTAGAGGCCATCTTAGCGCAGCACGACCATAAAATTGTTAAAACAATAAAAAAAACTCGCTGTTGCCAACTAGGTAACTTTAAACGAATCAAAAGCACGAAATTCAATTCGAACAAAAGTTTCCTTGTGGAAGAATTTTATATGACAGTGGGGAAGTAAACTACCTCTTTGGGAGTTCTTAGTCCAAATAAGAGTTCGCAGAAATCAAAATCTGACATCAAAATAAAACGTCAGCGATCGAAGTTCCATTTACGATCCTGATCTTGGACGGATCGTAAAAGTAATAGGTACCAATTGGACGTTCAGGAATTCTAAATTCCTTCAAGCGACTCACTGTGACACTGTTAATATTGAACATCACAGAAATAAAATCCCTTTGATACATTTCCATCGCAAATTCTATTTGTGCGTCACAAAATATTCATCTATAATTTCGAGTCACACGACATGTTCAATCATACAATCAGAATATTCATTCGTGTCAAAAGATTCTTCAAAAGCGACTTTATTTTAAGATATATTTATTCAGGAATATTATGAAAAAGCTTGAATTATTCAGATTTTTAATAATACCTATTGAAACAGGACTCTCGGTGTTTCAAATTCATGCTGCTTTATTGTATTCTATTATGAATATAATTATATTTCTAGTAGCTACTCATATTTTAGCTCTTAGTGTGTTAGAATTGGAAGTTGAAATGTTGATAATTTCAAATACTTCGCCTCTGTCCAAAGTCGTTGAGATATTAACATAACTTTTCAAGACATATTGTTTTTCATGTCATTAAAGGATATATATACACATATCGCAGAATAAATATATATTATAATAAGAAACTAAAACAAAAATTCAAAACTACGGAATCAATATTAGTTAGTTAGTCTTTCTATTTTAGGGCCCGTCAAAGTCAAAGTCAGACAGTGTAACTGATACAAACTTCAATTATAATATAAACAATGTTTAATCCGATCCGAATTCTAGTGTAAAGTAATTAGCGAAAACTTTTAGAAAATTCTCATTTAATTAAAAATCCTAACACAAAGGATGGAACTTTTTATTTCTCTCTAACAGATTCGTGGCCGGCTTAGCGTAAAAGTGCTAATGTTAGGCTTTCCTTCCAAAGGCCCATTATCCCTTGAAAGTTACAGGATTCGCACCGCCACTATTGTCTACAAACTACTTTGGAACAACTTAGCCAATAATGGAAGTAACAGTTTTAGGCTAAGTAAATATAGGTACTAGGTACGTTTACTTTAATATTTTATCTAATAGAAAAGTATTTCGAAGAACATTTTTATTGAAGGTTAATTTTAGAAATGGTAATACTGACTCGTTGTTTAGACGTCATAAGTGTTCTTTGCGACTGTTATCTTAGCATCGCAGATTTAAAACCCCGACTGTTAGGTATTTCTTAAAACTATAAATTGATGTAGGAAACTCAATAATGTGTCCAAAGTAAACTTGAAAAATAGGCAGAAACGAAAGGTCAAAGGCCAAACGTTGTACAAAAAGCGGATACGTAGATAAATGTCTACCCGGCTTAACATTCCCATAGGGATAGCAATGTAAATGCCATGACCGTAGTCTCACTTATAAAAAAGAAAAGTATCATTTCCATTACTATCTATAATATTTAGGCATATGAATGTAGCTCGAAATTTTTTTGAAATATTATCCGGTACCTACTAAATATACACTTCTTTCCTTTGTTAGCCATGCACCTTTAGTCGATGGGCGGTTCGGAACACATCATGTCACCGTCAGTTCGGTTGCCCTTTATCCCCATAAGAAAACCTCAATTTTGTACGAAAAGATTAATGATTGCGGATGAAAATAAGAAGTTTGCCAAAATCGACACGTTTCGTGTTTCAATGTTTCTGGTAATTCCATATATGGCTACTGCAATGAGATATTCCTCTAAGGGGTTAACAAAGAATTTATGTTTAAATAAAAGTTACAAATTCATTTATGTATACAAACAGATTATTATGTAGCGTAAAAGGCAACTTCCTGTAACCTTCAAGCCTGAATATTGTTATTGTAATTTATTTTTCTTATTGTGCCTACCTCAATAAACCATTTAGCATATAAGGTTATCAGTAAGTTCTTATTGTGGTTCATAATCTAGATTGTTGATCTTTAGTATTATTCACTACTCAACCGACAGTATGACTTCACACCTTTATTCCTCTGGGAGGTCCCATTGTCATATGACGAGAATTTCACAGAAAAACCTGCTATATTACGATGACTTGGCCTGGGTATCGAAAGGTAAGCTTCTTGCTTAGCTCTAGTACCTAACCATGTTACTAACGAAGCTGTATTCCGTAAATTAAGACGAATTTAATTTGTTCAATACTCAAAAGATTGTTTCGCAACCATTGTTTGTGTATATGAATCTTAGAAACAACATTTTCAATTACACAAATAAATATCAAGAACATATAAATGATTACAAAGAGAACACCGCTGCGCTGTTCTAAGTCTTCCTAAAATTTTCAAAGATTGTTACACTGGGAAGCCGCGAGTAGAGGCATGTTTAATTATGTAACGGAGACGAGTGTCAAGTAACGTAGAAACCATGGCAGCATTTAATTATCACGAAATTAATTTACTTCAAGGCCACGATAAGGTAGGCGTAGACGAACAAGTGCTTCTTGATAATTCAAAATATTTGAGAACAACTAAAAATTATTTTTAAAACAAACCGCATTTTCGCAGTAGCATTGAACATATATCTATTCTACTATTCTCTGAAGTCCTTAAGATATGAAATCGATAAGTGATAGAACTTTAGATAGATGCTCTTTATAAAGCAATCACACAATGTAACGGAGCATGAAATAGAAAACGTTGACGATAATGACAATTTTCCAGTCAAGTTCACGAACACAGCCGCACTTTGTCACCAGATAACGAAGTTTATCTGCTTCGAA